GAATGAGATCCTCATACTTTTTCACAAGGTCCAAGTTTTTGACACGTTGATCTTCCCAAAACTCTAACTCTTTCCTGAAATTGATATTCGGTACATACGGGTATGTCCACCTCTGGATTATATCCTTGCTAACTGTGTCATAGCTTCGGAAATTGTCGATCCTAGCAGCATAACTCGAGTATATCTCATGAGTGAAAATCTTGTAACCCATTATATCATCACCAAGCAAACCCTTTACGAAATGACGACGTAGATGCTGATAGTCAAAGTTAATTCTCAAAAAGACTAAGCACCTCAGGTGAACAAATATCAATGGAGCAATCATGCATAGTACCACTGACTTATCTAAGCAAACGTTCCCGATCTTATCCTCGTCGTAATGAAGAAGCTGTTTTGTTAAAGGATCTAAAGCAATAAAGAGCTGATCGGTTCCAAGCCTCGACTTATTCGTGAATGGCGAAGGTTTCGACTTCTTGATAACCATAGTCATGATAGCTTTCTCATCTTTCTTCTTCCTCAATCTATGTTCTTGAATCAAATCAGAGAGTGGCATATTACTCACAGTATCACCACTAACAAGAACAAAGTCACCAAGAATCTGACAAGTCTCTGTTTGCTGTTCATAGATGTAACGCAAAGCATCACCAGCACTTGTTGAATTGTGCGACTCTATCGTTCTCACTAACAGGTTTGGGTTCGAGTACCAATCGGAATTCTCAAGATAATCGATTACCTGAGACGAGTGAGCACAGCAGAAGACGAAAACGTCTTGTATACCAGCAGATTCGAGCCATGACAAGGTGTAATCAATCATCGGGACATTCACTAGAGGTAATAGTACCTTTGGTTGTTCTAGGGTTACTGGTCGGAATTTCGTGGCGAAACTGTCGGCGAGAAGAATTGCTTGTAAACGTTGACGACTGTGTTCGTCTATAAAATAACAAAATATATTACGTTTTTGTTTAATTATTATCAAACATATTAGTTTTTGGCATCACAATTTGTATATGTTTTTCATTAATTTTAAAGTTGATTAAAATTTAAAAGACTGTTTTATAAATAAAAATATTCAACACCAAAATGGTGTAAACCCATTTTCTACACCAAATCATTTTGATGTTAAAAATAGTGATGGATTGGAGATGATTTTACACCAAAAAATAGGTTTGGTATAGGATTTGGTGTACCATTGAGGAGATGCCCTAACATACTTGAGTAAAAAAAATTATTATTTTCTTTATTGAACGACCATATCAAATTTATATAAGTTTCTCCAATGTATTTCTCTATATTTGATTCTAAAATAGAGTAAAAAAATATATCGCTATTTTTTTCTATTTTAGAGTTTTTTACACTTTTTCTCTATATATAGAGCAAAAAATAGTAATTTCTATTTTATAGTTAGAAATAGAGATTAGTTGGAGAAAAAAATAAATGATTGCTATTTTTTGCTCTATTTTTAAAGATAAAAATAAGGATGGATCGGAGATGTTCAATAATGTTTTGTTTCTGCTTTTTATTGAATATTTACTTTTTTACTATTACTTTTCATTATGATCTCGGGTTCCATGATCTCGTATGAGTGATTCTACTTCTCTCTTTAATGCATCATTTTTCAATCACACATCACAAACATATGAAAAAACAGTTTAAACAAAAAATTAACTATTTTGTGCCTTTTTTAGTGTTTTGACTAGCGATCATATAATACAAAGAATTACTCTCCACTATCCCACTTAATCCGATAATGTATAAACTGTTTGTATTTTTTCCGTGTTGTATATGCATAGCTTAAAATGTTTTGAGGCTTTATATTTAGTATCAGTTTTTATTTTCACCGATAGAACTCTAAAAAGATAGTACAACTAAAATCTAAAGATTAGAGTAACTTTTTTTTGTTTTCATGATGTCCTTGCATAAACTATGTATAAAAAGACAATAATTTTTCACAATTAGAAAAGAAACTTCATATACAAAACGTTTTAGTATACAAAATGAAATCACTTTTTCTGGTTATATTAATTGAAATGAATGAAATCATTATTTTTTCAGGGAAAAAAAGGATTTAAGAATTTTTAAAAAGATATCCACAATGAAAATTTGAGAAAAGTCATAGATTTGCCCATATCCTTAAAATCTAAAGTTAATCGTGCGCAACTGTGCATGGCCTCGAACAAGAAAATATCTATTACTCTTGTTTATTAAAACCTCCTCCTTTTACCATGTTTATGTTGGACTCATTACCCAAAAAAGAAAAAGTTTATGTTGGACACGCATTAGTGTTGGATTTTAATTTGTAGTGTTTTTGTTTTGATCTACAAAATTTGAGAAACAAATTAAAAGTACTGTTAACAAAAAAGCAAATTACACGTATAGAAAATGCTTTAATTTGATGTTTCGAGGGGATGGAGATAAAGAGCGACATTTTCTTTACTTTGACATTAACCAAATGTGTTTAGCAAATAAAAAAATTATAACATAAAAAGTAATCTAATGGTCATTATTTTGCCACATAGACCATTTTTAGTTACTTTTTATGTTATAATTTTTTTTTTTGCTAAACACCAAATTGACCCTTAACTAAAAAACACACTTAAACGCGAAAAAAAAACAAAACACACACAAACACAAACCAAAAATTACTTAATTATCTTCTATATATTAATAGAGGAGACACTAAGTGAAAATCCTAGGTGTCATCCAAAGAGGGTTTTAAGGAACTTTTAAGGAAAACTATTAAAATTTATTAATAACATTATTGTGTAAATAATTACACTAAATTTATATCACATATACAATATATAACTATTAAACAAATACGGAAACAAGGAATATATGGTAATTAATATGGAAAATTTATTTAATAAATATAAAGTATATGTGAGAATACTTTTTCATGACTATTATATTTTTTTGACATGCGTTAAATATAGGATTAGAATATTCAAAAAAAATTCATGATTTTTTATATACAGGAGAAATTAAAAATAACAAAGATATATCTTCAGTATAGATAAATATATTGATAAATATATTTTATCTTACAAAATTTAATTTGCATGATACTTAGACTAAATGCAGATAATTTTTTAGAAATGCTACTTTTCAAAAATGTCATCATTTTGAAATTTTCTTTAAAATGTCACTAATCCTCTATATATTAATTGAATAGACATTTGGTGAAAAATCATATGTATTATTCAATGAGAGTTTTAGAGAATATGTCATTCAAATTAACTAATGAAAATATTTTAATTGAAACTATATGTTATGGTGGAAATCTCTATATGTTTTTATTAATTTTATAACATAAATCCATTAATATATATTTTACAGAGTTAACTTTGACTAAATGTAATATTTAAACTTACTATATCATCTATTTTTTTTTTAAATTGATATATTAAAAAGCTTTTTATTATTATATTTGTAACAATATTATTTATTTTTAGATGGTAATTACACTTACAAATATTTTAACATTTTATTCTTAGAAAACATATATTTTTTGTTTGTTATATCCGAAAATTTTATATAAATCTAAAATTTATATAATCTATACTTTATTTGATTTATCGCATACCTTACTATCTACACAAATAATAAAACTCAATTTGACACTTCAAATAAACTGAAATAAATAACATTTGTATTATTTTTAATATTTTATGCAAAATGGATCAAAACATATGACATTGAAATATGTTTAGTAAAAATTTAATTTTATTATATTTATGCACAATACATATCATTTTGTATGTTTATAAATATTAGAATATACATCTAAATATTAAGATCGATTAAAAAATATATTTCAATATTTAATCCCACGCTTGGCATGGGTCAAAATCTAGTACTATATTAAATTAGCTAAATAACCAAAAAAAACTTTTATAATTAGAAAAATGACTAAATTGTGGGGATTTCTTTGAAAAAACTAGAGGAGATTTTGGTTACTTTCTCAATATTGTAAATTTTTTTGGATATTAAGTGCAAATTCTCATTATACTATCATTTTCGGAAATATACTCTATTTTCTTTGTTTATTCCCCAGTCCAGTTTCTTTATTTTAAAGGAACCACATGTTAGAAAACAACAGATGAACTAGTCATGTTTTTTTTTTGGTAAACAACTAGTCATGTTTCGACCAAAAAAAAATAAACCTAGTCAGTGAATTAACGTAGTTTAAATTTAAATAGTAAAATCATTTGAATAGCCAACTGATCGATCAGTTTATCTATTTATATAACCAATTAATCTGTACTCAGATCGATTTTTAAATGTAATATATCAATAATCTTAAAAAATTCATAATCTAGTGGGTAGGATTTGGCCACAGTAAAGAGATTTTGGTTAAGATTATTTGATATGATTCGAACGGATTCACATTCATTTATGTATTCTTGGTTAATGTTAAATTATACTCCAAAAACTGGAAAACTAACTAAGTTATAACCTAACTAAACAAAACATCGAAGAATCATTTATCAAAGTGGTTCTCCTTGAGATGTATTTCTCGGTTTGTGTAACCGGTTCCAATTTATTCCGCTTATGAATGGTTCTACTTCTAACCGGACCCAATTTATATGATTTTTTAAAGTCTTAGCATTACTAGTCTACTACCATTAGTTGACGAAACAGAGCAAACATGGAAATTTAGGGTAAAATGGAAAAATGGAAGGTTTGGGAAATTGGGTCTATGAAGCGAGAGAGAGTTGGGGTTTTTAGGGTTTTAGCCGTTTAGGGTTTTCGTTTTGTTTCAAAAATGTCTCAGCTTTTGGTTCGAATCGCTAAGCTCTCATCGTCCTCAATTGTGAAGAAGAAGCATGGACTCTGTTTCAGTGAATTCCGTCGGTCACTGTCCACGGCGGCGACGCCGTATCTCCTTTTCGACGAGACGTTCAAGGATGAGAGGACACGATCTGGTGAAGCAGTGGTCGAATTGAACTTGTACGATCCGAGGAAAGACGAAACAGTGACCATCCCCGACCAGGCTCTGACGAAGGAGCTCCTCACATCGTGGAAGACAGGATCGTCGAGGGGATGGGTGGTTGCGGAGGACAAATCCGACTCGACATTGCGTCTCACTAATATGTACAACCCTTGTGCCTCTGCTTCCTCACGCAAGGTTATCTCTTTACCTCCAACTAAATATCAAATCNNNGGAATCTCNCTCTCGGCTTCGCCGGANNAGGAAGACTGTGTAGTGGCCGCCTTGTCACNTTGTTCATCTCTNATTATGTGTCGGCCTGGTGACTCGGAATGGACACCTATCATGGTCCCCTTATATACCTCAGGGATGATATATTCAGTGAGAGATCATAAATTCTACCTCAACAAGAGGCTTAAGGGAAATTACAATGGTCCAATTGATTTCGTCGACACTAGCTCCGGCTTCCCTCAGATGAGTCTGCACCAGCCTTCCCTCGTCGACCCTGACTCCGACTCCCTTTTCTCCGACATCCCCGAGAGTAGACTAGAACATCTTTACTCAGCTACCATGGCTCAACACATTGTCGAGTCACCTTCTGGCGAAATCTTCATCATTACTTTTAATCCCTATAAGAGGATGATTATGATGATGATAGTAATAAGTTTCATTTTCTGATTAACAAAATCCATGTGATTTTTGTCCTTCTGAGTGAAAACCAACCTTTTATGAATCCATGTGAATTTGTATGCGTTTTTAATTCGTATGAGATGTTAATGATAGTAGCTTGGTAGAACCGTAATAAGCTGTTGAAATTCTGAGTAATAAGGAGAACAGATAAATCTCTTGCTTGATTCTATGCTCTGTTTGCTTAAATTTTTTAGAATAGTAAAAGCTTTAGGGAATTTCTCTCTGACATGTTGTTTGAAAACAAAATCCTGTTTTGGGCCATGTCTCTCACTCTCCTATGGAAACACATGGCCTTGCCTTAAGGAGAAGTATTGTTGCAGTGTAGTTATGTAAAGAATGTAAACAAGCAGAGTGAGACGTAGAGAGAATAATAATCTGTGCTTGTTCTGATCACACTCTAATTTGGCATTGTTGAATCACACCTTCCTGATGCCGTTTACATTTTAACCAAAGATTCAATTATACTCATGTTGTCTCTTCTCTTGAAGGTTTAACGAGGACTTCACCTTGATCATGGACGAATGGGACGCTGTATATACCAAGAAACTTCCTTGTCAATCCTCCATCCTGATCAAGCCCAAGGGGTTTGTGGTGTTTAGGCAAGACCCTGAGCAAAAGATGAGTTCTTACACTGAAGACATTGGCGATCTATGCATTTTCCTAGGCAGCAACGAGGCCTTTTGCCTCTCTGCAACCGAGTATCCTGGACTTAAGCCGAATTCCATCTACTTTGCAAGCACTTTAACGGGGTTTGGTTTCTACGACCTTTCCTCCAACACTGTCCACGATGTCATCAATCCGCTCCCTCACTCATGTCGCTACAGTTGGCTGGCCCCTCTCCAGTGAATGTTTGTTCTTCGTGCTTCTGGTTAAGCAATGCATTTCCTTAAGCTTTTAAGCTGTTGTTGTAACATTTAGTGCTGTACTATGCATATGCATTTTCGAACTTGTTGTCTTCTTTATTATTATTACTTCCTTTGCTTTTCTTGATGTTCAACTTATGAGAAACTGACTAGGATGCTTAGTAGTACTTTCGAACAATTCTTGGTTTCACCCTTCACCCCCTCCCCGTTAACCAATCACAATTTAGTTAAAAAATAGATTATATTAAATCACTAAAATAATAATAGAAACCACTAATTCTCTTTTCTAATTATGACATATTTCCTAACTATAACATATAGACAATAAATTAAAATAATTAA